GGTATCGGATAAAACCTAAACGATACCCATCCCTAGTATTCAATGTAGGTAATAAAAATACAAAATCATATTTCTGGGCTACAGCTGCTGTGAGACAAAGCTCAATAAGCCAATTAAAGATTCACTCTCTGGCCAGCATCTGTACCAGACACAAAAAAGCATACTGTATAAAAACCAATACAATACACACGGATGACATAAGTACAGCGGCATCAATAATATGATGAGTGTGGATGCAAGTGTTACGGCTATATAAAAAACACCGCAAAAGTCAAACACACCCTGAACCAACCACGCTCACTAAAACAGAATATTTAGACCAAAACCTTTCAAATAAAGCCAACGTCTAACTGGTGTGTCACCTTTTGGAACCCACCACTCAGTTAACAGGGAACAGGAAGAGGGGGAAAGCTCACTGTGCTACTTATACAACCATTACACTTCCTCATTAACTCGATGTCATTAATTGTTTCATTTAATTTTGGATGTTAAATTTTACCATTAACTGTGAAGTGTCCCCATTTCTGTCTGAACTCTGAGTTGGTTAATGAAAATATTCTACCAGTTGGTGTTTGCATGATGGTGGTAGACGTCTAACACGACAGTCTTACATTTCCCAAGTTGCTCAGTTAGGTTGGGATGAACTTTGCAGACTTTATTTTGTGAAGCCAATTCTACATCTTTATGATTAACGTGGCCGCTGCGGTCAGGATAAAAATGTTTTATATTGTAAAGGTGATAAGTTATTTACAGTGACCATTCCCAGAAACCAATGGACCTAAACAATAGCAGAATAATGATCCACATCTGAACTAAAGATGGCCAGCATAGAAATGAAATGAAATGATGTTCAGCAGTGAAATGTATATAGGTAATGATCCTCACCTCAAGAAGTCTGGTGTAGTAGGTGAAGGTGTCCTCCCCGTCCCTGTGGGTGTCATCTACCTTGTACCTCCTGCAGGCCAGCAGCAGCTCGTTAGAGCTGTAGAGCGGTGCCGGGTCAATGGAGTGGCTATTGATCAGGCTCACCAAGTACTCCCGGTAATGCTTCCTAGAAACCAGCACACCACCAAAAAAATTATTTATATATCAAGTGATATCAATGATCAATGAGTCTTAAAGAGGGATTAAAAAAATATGCCAAAGCCAACCAGAGTTGCTCATTTTGTGTGTATACATATATAAAAATTCCCCGCTCGCCCCTGCGGGCGGACAATCCTTCAAGCTCGGTCCTCTACCAGAGGCCTGGGAGCTTGAGGGTCCTGTGCAGCATCTTAGCTGTTCCCAGGACTGCGCTCTTCTGGACAGAGATCTCCGATGTTGTTCC